AACAGCAAATGTGTCAAAGGGTATATTTCACCGTTTCACTTGAGTACGAAATGAAATCAGAGAATCCTGGGAAAATATCTGAGCCATGTTATAAAAGAGAAAAAATTTAAAAAAAAATCGGAGTTGACAGTTGCGCCTATATTTCATAAAACTGAAAATGTGAACTTGTAAATCCGTGGAAACATAAGTTCTATACCAACAGTTTCTTCTATCGCAGTTCTCACTTGTGGAATTCTCTTTCGCTTCTTGCTTCCCAGTCAACTCTGATTTTCAAAAATTTAAACGCAATGTCATCGTCATCTTTTGTATCCTCAATTCATGTTCTTTTTATTCTCTCTCCTTAATAGTGTTTTTTTTTTCTCTCATATTCCTTAACACCCAGTATCTGCTTACGTCTTAGTGGTTTCATTGCTTTTCTTGGGGCGAAATTATTTTTTAAAAATGTATTGAAATCATCACGACAACTGCCATATTACTATCTGGATTAGTTCTATGCGACGTATGATGTTTATTTTCCGTTAATTTATATCTAGATGCAAAATTGTGCGAAAATCTAAGTACGAAATAATAATAATAATAATAATAATAATAATTATAATAATAGTAAGAAGAAGAAGAGAGGTGGGAAGAGGAGGAGGATGAAGAAGAAGACAAAGAAGAGTGGGGAGAATGAGAAGGAAGAAGAGGATGATGATGATGATGATGGTGTTGATGATGATGAATAATAAGAATACAAAGAAAAGGAGGAGGGGAAGAGGAAGAAGAAGAGGAGTTTGAATAATAATAATAATAATAATAATGATTGATGTCACTCATCTAATATTATTCCACACTTAAGAGAAGAGTGGGATTTAAGAAAAGAAAAAACAGAAAAAAAACAGTGTTTGACAATGTTAAACATTATTTAGACAGTATAGTGATATTTACAACTACTACTACTACTATACTACTACAACTACTACTACTACTACTAATAATAATAATAATAAGAATAATAAGAAGAAGAAGAAGAAAATAGAAGTACATGAAGACCCAAACCAGATATTAAACTCTCCTGACTAAGATATTTTTCTCTTTTTTAGATTGCACTTACCTATTTTTCTTTAGATCCAGAGCTTGATATATTCCCAAACGTTACGATATACAACCTAGTCGGCTACTCCTCACAGGTGACATTTGGTTCTCTCTGCTTTTTTTGGGGGGTGGGGGTGTTGGTTTATTTATTTTTGTTTGCTGTAATTTGCCTTGATGTATTTGTTTTGGGCTGATGATAAGACTTTTCCTTTTTGCTTTTAAACTATTCACTGTCTTTCCACGCTTTTTGTTTCCAGGACTTTTCGTTTGCTGTGCATTCTACGTGTCTTTTAAGCTCCGCGAAACAAGGTTTTTTTCTTCTCCGATATGTCTTTTCTTTGAATGTTCCTCACTGTTCCCGCGTTTGGCATCATTTAGTCGCTCTTCGGCCTGAAGCTAAATATTAAATTCCAAGATTTATGCTCAACTCCAGCCTATTTTCTAATCTGTGGCAATGAAATCATATTTTTGAATTTCCCTCCTTTTATCTCCCTGTTAATCTAAGGTAAGCGGATTAAATATACATACTCAATTAAATAAAATGTACTAATAAAGAAAGGAGTAGTCATCCATTTGTTTTAGTGAAAGCATTATTGATGAAATTCTGAAACTACCTATTTTCTATATTCCAACAGTTTAACATATTCTTCCTATCTTTCCGTCTTCTTCTTCTTCTTCTTCTTCTTCTTCTTCTTCTTCTTCTATGTGATGTGTCCCTTCAGGACTTTACCGAACATGGCTCTCCACAATTGCCTGTCCATTGTAATTCTTAATACATTTTTTTCTTTTTGTTTTATCTCCTACGCTTTTGTTCCGGAATCCATTTATTTAATCTCGCTCGGTAGGTTATGCATTGTTTTCCTCTGTTCTCCTTTCTTTCAAACTGTCCTGTGGGTATCAAATTTTCCAAGTCATCTTTCCTCATTATGTGCTCCAGAAATTTCAAAAGTTTTTCCCTGATGTTATGTATAAGTGTCCTTTTTGTTTCCATTTTCTCTAAAACTTCGTCGTTGCTCACATAACTGGTCCAGTGCATTCTCAACATCCTTCTGTAGAAGTATATTTCCGTTGCATCAGGTCCTTTCTTCATTTTGAAGGAGGTTGACCAACATTCACTGCCATATGGGAGGAGTATTTAATGTTAGCAGACAGAAAAGTTTCTCGATGGTGGTTAAATGAAAGCAGTTTTGTTTTAGAGGCGTTAAAATTTACAAATCATTTCCTGCCCCAGTTAACTACTGATTGAATATAAAACAGAAAGAGGGTTGAACTGAGAAGCGAGTCTTGTTAGATGCCTCACATTCATATCCTCGTCAGTTTTAATATATTCGTCTTAGAGAATGTATTAGAAGAAACAGTGAAAATAAATGTACTAGAATATTTCTCCGAACCAGAAAGCGCTACAATCATTTAATTTCTTTTAAGCGATCTATATCACGATCAGAAATCCCGTAGAATTCTAGGAGCACAACATCTACGTCAGTGACAGCAGCAGTGGTGTTTCTTAGGCAATACGGTCTGCTGGAGTTTGAATTCGGTGTTTTCCTTCTAGACAAGTCACCCACCAATATATAGCTTACAATATTTCTTGCTATTTAGAGATTGATTTATACCTTTCCCAAGCTTATTAGTACATAAGTGAATGTAATGAACTCGACTATTATTCGAACTTGGCTCTCCGATTTCTGAATCCGAGCCGCTATCCATTACTCCATCGTAGCTCCATGATCAATATCAAACCCCTCAAATCAATAGAGACTCTTTAGCACCTGCCAAGTAAGGAATCTGTTGGAATCAATATCAATTTGGCAATGATTATTGACATACTTATTATTCACGAATACGTTCTAAATTATTCAAAGAAATGGTTATGACGTGTCTCTGTCTGTGACATCACTCGTATTTTATTTGATTATCCATTTCATCCATTATTTCTTAATGTTTTATTTTTTAAACATATTTTCAAGTACGTTATCTTGGGTGACAGGAATCGACATGCAACTTCTTTTTTATTCCCAAACATTTGTGTATAAATTGCTCTCGAATAGTTTGTAACACCCTATTCATCATCTCTCAGTTGCGCCTCTGTCTTTGGGCAGAGTGCGCTCAGTGACGGCTCCGTCAAAGGGCGGAGTCTCAACTGAGGAAAATTATACTGAGAAGTGCCCAGCCCTGGATAACAACTGCCCGATGCCGCGCCCTTTCATTGCACCAGAGAGAGAGAGAGGGATCAGTGCTCGCACTGAGTCCAGTGCAACCGCCGGTTGCGGGGGCTTGGGCAATTTTTGTTCCTAGACCAGGTGTACGCGCTTGGGCTCCCCACATTAAACCGACATTATGTCACAACCTGACCTCGTTGGGGGTTGAGTAAATACAAATTTGCAAACATTTTTGTCGTATTTTTTTCTGTATAATAACGATTGTATTTTTCCTACAAGCATAACTTTTTAGACGGAATAAAAATCCCATGGACCAAGTCCAAACTAAAAGCGAATGCCGCAATTTATAAGTTTCGTTAAAAAACAGAAAGTGCAATATTTTACAAGATCGCGCAAGACTAAATTTTCGATGTGCGTCTCCACCTTACACCAGCAGAGCAAAACAACATAGAAATATTTGCCCGGTCTCTTCACCAAGACAGGATATGACAGAAGGGCCATACGTGCGGAGTGCCATACAAATACGTATACATATGCACCAAGAACAAACAGATTTCTGGCCTTCTGGCCACTTCCGGCATTGGGACTGGGCAGTTCTCCCATATAAAATGAGGAGCAACGTTTATTCCACTTACGGCACAAGAAAACATATTGATATAACCATAAACTTGGGCATCTTGACGTGGTGTAATGGTTCGTAAGCTTGTATTGCTACGACTATTGCAACTGACTAGTGAGTTCGATCCACACTATGTGCCCCATCCTTTCGGCCTTGTGCCACATCTAATTTGCGCTTAGAAAATCACCATATAATCATAAACTTTCATAAATATATATTACTAACAAATAACCTTGACAACATAAGCGGTAAGATTTAATTTACATAACAATTTTTAATACTTTTTTATTTGGTTGGTTGGAATTGTTTAGCAGCATATCAACTTCTATGGTTTATTTAATGCCGAAAGCTAAATATTTTGAACATGATTTTATGGCTTCAACTACAGATGTATTGTCTTGGCCATTTTCCTATAAAATGTATTGTTGTTAATTCTACTATAAATTATACTGCTGGTCATTTTGCTTTAAAATATATTGTTGGCATCTTCACCATTAAAATGTATTTTTATAATTTTATTGTCTTTTGTTTGAGGGTTCAACTATTTGCCAATAGCTGGGATTTTAACAGGTGCTACCCCCCAGGTAAGGTTGGATTTCGTAACAACAGCAATTATGAGGTGGTTTCACGCCCCTCACAACCTCCAATTACCCGGTCAGAGAACTTGCTGTCGGATGTAGTTCATCGTAAATACCCATTCCATAACTGTACGCCCGGCAACGTTAGTTAGGATCGTATTTCCCACAACAATTGCTGTTATCTACCAGTTTTCATTACAAAACATTAGTTGTGCTGATCCGAAAAAAATAAATTATAGAATTATGCAAATAAGTCAAAATAATACTGAATTATAAAACAGTACCGAACTGTTTAATCCAGTGAAAAATAAATTCACTGAAATTATTATTATTATTATTATTAGTAGTAGTAGTAGTATTATTAATAATAATAATAATAATAATAATAATAATAATAATACAAACATTAGAAGATTATTCAGATGTTTCTCTCATGGCCATGTCGATGCATCTATGTCCAAAGTAGAAAATTCCAGTAGAACTTAGTCTAAGAACAAACGTAATCATAGAAAAATATATATCTGAAAATGTTGTTTATATAGAAATTTTGTAGACGTAAGAGAAATTCTATCACAACATATAAATAAGACAGAAAAAATAACAAACAGACGATAATAAAAGGAAAGAAAAATATCCAAGGAAAGGAATGGCGAAATAATAAACGAACGCAAAATTGAAAGAAAGAAATAAAAAGAAAGAAAGAAAGAAAGAAAAAAAGAAAGAAAGAAAGAAAGAAAGAAAGAAAGAAAGAAAGAAACATGCACTAATAAAACGGAGAAAAAAAAAACAAATGTCAAATGAAAGAAATGACTAAGGAATATCAGGACACATAACTAGAAATAAATAAATCAAGAAAGAAAGAAAGAAAGAAAGAAAGAAAGAAAGAAAGAAAGAACGAACAATTATAAAAGGAAATTTGGAAAAATGTATAAGAATGAACAATAAGAAAAATGAAGTGAAATGAGATTCAAAAGCAAAGAAAAAAATGAAATAATGGCGGAACTCATTACGAAAAAGAAAGAAACAAACAAACAAATAAAAGAATAAATCAATACTAAATGAAAGAAATGACGAAGAAATGAGAGCCAAATAAGAAAGAAAAAAATGAACGAAATAAAAAAGACAAGCAAAAAAGAAAGAAAGAATAAACGATCATAAAACAACAGAAAATCAAAGAAAAGGAAAAAAAATGAAGAAATTGATGAACACAAAACGAAAAATAATGAAAGAAAGAAAGATAGAACGGACAATTATGAAATGCAGTTTCAAAAATGGATAACTAAGAACAATAAAAAAAGTGAAAATAAACGTCAAAATTGACTGAACGCATAATATAATATAATAAAGGATGAAATAAATAGAGAAAGAAAGAAAGAAAGAAAGAAAGAAAGAAAGAAAGAAAGAAAAAAAAGAAAAGAAAGAGCAGTAACGAAAAAAAAAATCTATGGCCAAGATGAGTTTTTCGAAAGAATGATTGAGCACTTAACGAGAAATAAAAACGAACGAAAAAAAAAAGATAACAAAACGAAAGAAAAAAAGAAATAACACAATAAAGAAGTGAAAGAATGACTGACAGAATGAGAGAGAGAGAGAGAGAGAGAGAGAGAGAGAGAGTTAAAAACAAAAATGAGAAAATAGATTTTCTGCTGACAAATATGAAGATAGGAGTAAATCGAAACAAAGAAGTCTACATTTACTGGGCATTCCAGTTTGCAATTCAAAAGAAACTAAAGATTGGAACTGAATTTGTTGGTGGCAATGACGAATGAAATGTCCATTTCACTTCAATAGGCACACGATGACCAAAGACCTTGGAGCCAATCTTGTCGCCTATCGTAAAATAAAATTGGTCGACGCTAATTGCTGATTGGTCAAGTCGCCGGTGGCTCCTGACGCGTCTATCTTCAGATCTGACTGCCGATTAAAAGCATCTCTCTGTAATTAGGATGACACAAAATGTCTTTCTTAAGTATTTTTCCTTTTCACTTTTCGAAGGTAAAGTTGTCACATGATCCAGATCTTTGACCAGTCAGCCATTGTTACTTCAAGAAAACTCTAGGAAATCGACAGGAAGATAAACTGTTTTTGTTAAATGTCATCGAAAATTCGCCTGTTTTAATACCGATATCGGCTTTATATTTATCAAACTACTTTCTTCTTTTTGCCGAGGTTAATAACGAAGCACGTTTCCATTTTATTAGAAATATCTTTCGGCAAAATGTATTGATTTCATTTAAAATATACGTAATTTTATTCAATAAAAAAATCTTTATACAGTGTAACCCGGATATGAGAGACCCGGATATAAGAGAAACCCGGATATAAGAGAAACCCGGATATAAGAGAAACCCGGATATAAGAGAGATTTTATCTGGTCCCAAATTAGAGCCTGTGTTAATGTATATAAAATAGACCAAACCCGGATATAAGAGAAACCCGGATATAAGAGAAACCCGGATATAAGAGAAACCCGGATATAAGAGACTTCTTATCCGGTCCCGACAACTCTCTTATATCCGGGTTACACTGTAAATATCTTTTTTTCTAAACATCTTATAATAATTTTGCTTGTTTGCTGGTCCCTACCAACGTTAGCTTCTCAGTTCGCACGACCGTTATGCCCCGCCAGTACCTCATAAACAATAGACTATTCTGTTTTGATCGCGTGAGAAGACAAACGGCATAGCAAAAACTTTATTTGATTTCAGTGGAAAAATTAAATAAAGAAGTGAAATGGAAAATGTTGGCAATTTGATTTTTTTTTCATTTGTACCTCCTTATTTTTTTTAAAATAACGACCAGCATTCATATTTATGATTGGTATTGCAAGATTTTGTTAAATTTGTTAAATTCAAATATTTAATGGTGCGATAGCGGACTTTCTACTTATATTTTATTGTAGAACTCTCCAAGAGCTTATTCAAGCATTAAGTGAAGAATTAAGATTCAACAGAAATTTACAATAGGAAAACCTTGAAAATTTCAAGTGTTAGAGCTAGAACACATAATTGTTAGACGTTTTTCTCTGGATATTAAATATTCACAAAATATCAAGAATTTTTTTTTTTATTATTCAATTCTGTAAATATATTATTTTAAAACCTACAACTATGTTTAGCTTCAATTTTACAATATATTATATAAACACATTTCAGCGAATAGTCTCAACTCGACAGAGTGTTGTTTTGTAGAAACTTCATTTTGTAGAAACGTCATTTGTTTATCATTAAAATCATAAGTTTATGAAATATAAGAATTTCACTATAATTCTTTGATTTATGTTCAGCGTATGAGGTTCCTGCAGTACAGTTCTTAGGACCGAACAGCCAGACTATTTGCATATATGATTTGATTATCGTGGTGAAGGCTTATGAAGAAAAAAACACAGTACCATAAATTCATGTTTATAACAATTTTAAACAAGATTAGCGAAGATAAAGTAAATATCACAAAACCTATGATTTTCACCTGGAACTGATGTAGTCTTTTTGGAAAATTATCAAACAACATTAAAGAGAAAAGAATTTGTTGAAGGTAGAGTAATGATTGGACAAGCATTGAAGGCAGTAAAATTATCGATCCCTTCAAAGGAGATTATGGTGTCACGACAAATGTACGTAAATGTTGTAACTTCGTGGACAAGTTGTTTTAAAAGAGTATATTCATGCAAGTATATACACATTCGCATTCTGCGAAGTTATTGTTTACCTAAGCAAAATGAATTAAATAACTTCTAGCCTCTCAATATATAAATATATATATACATCCAATTAAAAATTGTTGTCGATTCTTAATAGAAACAAGTAGTAGCCATGAATGTTTGAAAAACACTCATATTCAGAAGAAAATTCTGAAAAAGAAGAAAAAAGGAAATGGAATAAATAGAAACAAAAAAGGTGGATAAAGATATTAGATTCGCTTAGAAAAAAACAAACTTGGTAAACTACAAAAAATACTAGCAGCAATCAAATAAAAACAAAAGAAAAGGGAAAAGAAAGAGGAAGAAAAAGAAAAGAGCAAAAAAAAATGGCCGACAGGAGGATATCTTTGGTAACAAAGAAAAGAATACTGAGCTGTTACGTGACATCTGTCCTTCTTTATGGCAGCGAATGTTGGACAATTTCTCAAACATGAAGAAGAGACTGAGGCGACAGAGATGAGGTTCTACAGAAGGATGCTAAGGATATCATGAACCGAGCGTCTGAGAAACGATAGGTTCTGGGAGAGAATGCAAACGAGGAGCAGTCTTATACTTAACATCAAGAAGAGGCAACTGAAGTTCCTGGGGCACATAATGAGGAGGGAGGGCCTGGAGAATCTGATACTCACGGGTCGAATCAAGGGAAAGAAAGACAAGGGAAAACAACACATGACATATCTAACGGGATTGAGCAAGTAGATGACAGAACGTGATCTGGAGAACATGGCATTGGAAAGGGACATATTAAGAGCTTCAAGGGGTAGAGAGAAGTGGGGAGCCATGATCGCCTACGTCTTGAAATGACAGCAAGAAACAAACGTGCTAACTAATTAAGAAAGAAAAAAAAACAAATGTTGGACGATTTCCTCAAAGGTGGAAAAGAGACTAGAGATGACGGAAATGTGGTTCTACAGAAGGATGCTAAGGATATCAAGGACCGAGCGTGTAAGCAATGATGGGATTTTAGAGAGGATCCAAACAAGGGGGAGGCTTATACTTAACATCAGGAAGAGGCAGCTGAAGTTTCCTCTTAGAAGAAGTCGTCGAACAAAATTAAAGCGGTTTGCCCATCCTTGATGCAATTTCGTTTCGGTTTATTTAGTTGCATCTCGACTGGTGAGAACCACATCTCCTTCGCCTCGAGTCTGTTCTTCGTCTCTGTGATACAATCCATCATCCAGCGCGATCATCAGTTTGACCATGGCTAATACCTTGGTGCCCTCTGTCACAATGACTTCTGTCTACCTGCTAGCGCAAACATCGACGAAACAATTTTGTCTACCCAATTTAACACAAAAGAATTTCGTTAGCCTGTGGTATATTTTTCCGGAACTTTCCAAAGAAGCCACCTGCCAAGATCACCTTTCAAGGATATTCATACAACGGTTTAAACTGAATGTACAGTGTAACCCGGATATAAGAGACCCGGATATAAGAGAAACCCGGATATAAGAGAAACCCGGATATAAGAGAGATTTTATCTGGTCCCGAATTAGAGCCTGTGTTAATGTATATAAAATGGACCAAACCCGGATATAAGAGAAACCCCGATATAAGAGACTTCTTCTCGGGTCCCGACAACTCTCTCATATCCGGGTTACACTGTACAACAATTTGATTTTTCTCTTTGCCGACATAAATTATTTGACGATATTGTTAAAAAATATAGTTGGTACGAACTAATGGCACTTATATATTCATTATCAATGCAAGATCAAAAGTGGCGGTTTTAATGCGTGTCATCTTAGAGAAAGAGCAGCGATAATCGTTACAGAATCCAAACCAATATTCGCCCCATTTTTGCCCAGCCATGAGTAAGGTGGAGACAAATAATCGATGTGATAACAACTCGTCCATAATATTGCCATTAGTGATATTAGAATATGAAAATAGATCTTTTTGGACTTATATGATTTTTGTTGATGTTCTGTCTTGTATTTTTTTTCTAAGTTGCAAGCCATGAGCACAAGAATCTCATTGACTGGTTGTCTCATTAGTGGCTGTGTTGGCTGAACATCGGTAGTAATTATGTGGTATTGTAAGTAGCGTTCGGCTGAATGAACGTCAAGAAATTGCTGTGGCTAACGCAAATATAAATATGTCAATATATACAGTGTGCTTGGAATGATATATATATATATATATATATATATATATATATATATATATATATATATATATATATATATATATATAATGCTTATATTAAATATCCAATCTACAGACATTTTAAAGGAAAATATATATATTTATATATATATATATATATATATAATTAGAAATTATTAATATAATATATTAATTATTAATAAATTTAATATTAATAAGCAATTATTAATTATTAATATCAATATATAGTAATAATAATTATCCATTTTTCAGAAAAAAATGTATATTTATTATTAATAATAAATATTCAATTTTAATAGGAAAAATACATATATATATTGTTACAATATAATTTATAGCTCTCTTTATTTTGAATCGAACACTACTTTAGTTTGACCACCACTCAATGTGATATATATATATATATATATATATATATATATATATATATATATATATATATATATATATATATGTACAGAGTTGGTACACATCGAATAAAATTCGATAGCCAAAACACTATTCGCAAAAAGAGTGCTCAATACCGAGTAGTCAAACAATATTCATTCAAAATTATGACATATTATGTAATAACCTCACTACAAATATTGCATTTTGTTTCAACTCTACTGGACTCTTATCAAATAATGGTATTGATTGTAATCTCTCTCTCTCTCTCTCTCTCTCTCTCTCTCTCTCTCTCTATATATATATATATATATATATATATATATATATATATATATATATATGTATATATGTATAAGGATTGTCCAGGTGGTATATATATATATATATATATATATATATATATATATATATATATATATATATATATATATTTTGTGAGTTCCTTTATGTAATATGTGAATAAATATAGGATATAGTAATATGAATATATATATGCATATATAGGTATATATGGGTATAGATTTGTCCTATTTATATATATATATATATATATAGAGA